CGATATGTCCCACCCCCCCCCTCCTCTGTCTGCCATGCAGCAAATTAAACGGATGGTTAAATATTTTGTTTATGTCGATAGTGATTTCTGTTTTCTTTTTATTATTTTTTTTTTTTTGCTTTTCTTTTTTTTTTTTTTTTATTTTTATTTCTAATTTTTTTTCTTTTTTTTGGTTTTTTTTTCTAATTATTATTATCATTATTATTAGTTATTATACGAAAGGAGGAAAAAAAAAAAAAAGGAAAGAAAGGCGTCAAATTCTCTTCCGATATGGAGAAATGATTCTAGTTAGCGATTTTTATGATCTCTTTCTCTTTAACACATACGATTACAATTACTACTATGATTACTATTAATGCTACGCAATCTGTGCCCTTTTCCCCCCGTCTCTCTGCCCTTGTATTTTTCTATATTTTTTTTCTCAGTTAAATTGATCCCCCTTCATATTTTTTAGTCTTTTCATCCAATCAATTCTCCTCCTCCACCCTTCTTCTTCTTCACCCACGTTTCTTCTACTTCTCTTCCCTTTCGCGTCCATTTCTTTCCAAAGGATTAAGGCACAGTTTGTTTTGTTTTCTCAAGTATTGCATAGTAGCTAAAGTGATAGATTGAATTATTATTATTATTATTATTATTATTATTATTATTATTATTATTATTATTATTATTATTATTATTATTATGTAATTAATTATTATTATTATTATTATTATTATTATTATTATTATTATATTATTATTATTATTGTATTAAATTTAAGGTTGTCCATAATTTATCAAGTCCTGTGTTGATTATTATAAAAAAAAAAAAAGAAAAATGTCTATATCGTTCATGTGCCCAAGAATACGTGTATTAATTAAAAATGTTACGATAAAGTATCAAAGAGAAATGATAAAAATTTTATTAGGTATTATTATGAAAGAGGTGATAAAGAAAAAAAGAAAATTGAAAATTGTATAAATAAACGTTAGTCAATTATAGTAATGAAATATTAATTGTTTTTGTGTAACAAATTATTTTTATTATTATTATTATTATTATTTTTATTATTATTATTATTATTATTATTATTATTATTATTATTATTATTATTAGTATTACTACTGCTACTACTACTACTACTACTACTACTACTACTACTACTATTACTACTACTACTACTCTACTACTACTACTACTACTACTACTACTACTACTACTACTACTACTACTACTACTACTACTACTACTACTACTACTACTACTACTACTACAACTACTACTACTATTATCATCAAATTGCAAGATCACGTGGTTAAAAATTTTTCTTTCTCGGTTTCTTTTTTCTTTCTTTTTCTTTTTGTTCTTTTTTTTCTTTTTTTTTTTCTTTTTTTTTTAATAACAAAAGGACATAAGTCGATTCGTCACGGGTACCTGATTATTATAATTTTATTCTTAAAATTTTTAAGCGAAGAAAGAAAAAAAAAAAGAAGAAAAAAAGAAAATTTCGCTTCATTGATATACATTCGATAATATTAAGAAGGATAAATCCTATGTTCGATCTGGAATCGGTATTTCTTTTATTATTATCATTATTATTACATTTCTTTTTGTTTCTTTTTTTTTATTTTATTTTATTTTATTCCTTTCTTCTTTTATCTTGCAAATGGAAATTATGATATAATGCGTTCAGACATCCTTCAGTTATATTTTTACATTTGATATAACGCTCCTACCAAGGATTTCACAAACGTTAAAACTTATGTCCTATTGTTAAGATGCTTAAAAAAAAAAAAAAAAAAAAAAAAAACAAAAAAAAAAAAAAAAAAAAAAAAACAAAAAAAAAACAAAAAAAAATATAAAAAAAATAAAAATAAAAATAAAAAAAAAGAATAAAAATAAATAAAATCGAATTATGGGCAACCAGCGGCAAACAATAATCATCATTTAGTACTGTACTGGCTTCCTGATCCTCCGATCTAGTTTTACCAATCGTTTTAAATACGAATACTTACCATTAACATTAACAATGAGGATGATTAATGCCATACATGTTCTGTGATAAGACCACTGTAATTACTGCAACTGTGTATCATTGCTCCCCCCCCTTCTCTCTAGACTCTCTGATGATCTTGGCAGCCAGTGAAAAATACATTTGTTAAGTAAACGATCATTATGATATCCGGGCAGTCCCAAATCTAGCATATTCGAAAGATATATCTATCGATTTTAAGCTTTTTACTGTACATATCTACTGTATTTTATAAGGACTGAAACCGACATGTATAAGCATACTTTTACTGTATGATAAATCCAGCATAATTTATTATATTTTACAGACTGTGCTAAACTCATGTTCCTTAAAAAAAAAAAAAAAAAATGATAAAAAAGAAAAAAAAAAGAAAAAAAAAATTAAAAAAATATTAAAAAAAAAAATTAAAAAATAAAAAAATAAACGAAAGAAAAAAAAGAAAAAGAGAAAAAGAGAAAAAAAGAGAAAAGAGAGAGAGAGAGAGAGAGGAAACAAAACATAATGATAAAAAAGAAACCAGTATGGCGACACTTTAATGAATGAAATATAAAAAATAATAAAACAAAAAGTAAAAAAAGAAAAAAAAAAAAGAAGACACAAGAGAAAAAAAAATTACGTCGAAAATTAGTACGATTTAGACGCACGAAAGATTTTTTTTATCCTGATGCGTATTCGTTGTATTCATTACGGTAATAGTGAATATAATCGCATCAAGTGCAGAGAAATCTTACGGAAATATAATTAAGACTTTTCCACAGTTTTTTACACAATCGTCCTTTTGAAAGCCATCATAGATTGATAAGGCTTAAGGAAAGAAAGCAATAGAAGAATGAAATATTATAAGAGATTTTGAGGAACAGATTTTGGCCGTTCTCGCTCACACTTTTTAGAAAATCCACGTCCATTTTGCGAAAACTATCTTTGGGACTGTGCGGCGATTACTCGTGGAACTTGTGACGTTTTGAATGTTTCTTTAACTTCTTCTTTTTCTTTTTTTTTTATTCTTCTCTTTTTTCCCCCTTTTCTTCTTTTCTTTTTTATCCTCTTGGAAAGTTATTATTAATCTGTATGACAATTTGAAGAAAGAAACAAAACAAAAAAAAAAAGAAAGAAAAACAATAGATTCTTTGAACCAATTCGCAATAAGATTCTATGAGCGTATGACTGCATAATTTGATAAACTAAGTACAAGTAAGACAAGTGTTACCTCATCATGGAATTCAGCACATTCGTGTCACATTAGCTACCACTGCATCGCTGTTTGGTACACTTCCATTGTATGTTGCATTTAAATTCAAAGACTTTTATAAGAATGGTCCAACAGTGGTAATTGTTTTTAGTGCACGAGTGCTGTTCATCAAACCCAGCTCATACAGACATTCATTTTTCCATTTACTTTAAGTCATTGCACCACATCAAATAAATGACATTTTCATTATATAATCATGTGAATTTTGCGTGAGTTTCATTACCCTTTACAACATTGCAGTAGCTTTATGATGGGTCTCTATATTAGTTTTTTCTTTTTTCTACTTTTTTTTTCTTGCATTTTTTTCTTTTTTTTTTTTCTTTTTTTTTTTTAATCACAAAGTCTAAGTTCTTGCGCTAACAAAAAAAGGGGCAATGACAAAAGATTTTGTTAAGATTAATTTACATTACGTTAGTTTATCAGGATCAGAAATATTCTCTAATAACGTAAGATACCAAATGTATACTTGATAGAGATAAAAAATTATTTCTTTAAAAAAGAAAAAAAAAAGAAAGAAAAAAAAAATTGTAAATGTGGATAAAGTGCAAGTAAAATTAGAGTTTCGTATCGACTATAATAATATTTTACGCAGGCTAATAATAATTCGTATATCTCTAAATATATGTACAATCTATCGTATGTGTTTCAATCTATCTTTAAAATATTTGAAAAGATAATTCATTTTTGTAAAAGATTATCATTCGAAGGGAGAACATTCATTGCTGCGTAACTACATATAAGGTATGTTTATGTTATCATTTATATACATATATATATATATATATATATATATATATATATATATATATATATATATATATATTAAATATTAAACTTATTAAATAGTCTTATAGTTATATTATTATCAATATAATGAAATAAACTAATCGGACAATAAATGTTGCAGATATTCGCTCGTATATCTATTACTTACACAGAGAAGAGAAATTATTGGGGAATTAAGAAATATAATGTCGCATAGGTACGATGTATATTTTGTAAGTTATATTAATAAATATTAATTATTGAAACTCTCATAGCAATCTCTATCTTGTATATTTTACAATGGAATTTGAATTAATGAGATTTTTGTGCTAATTGCACCTTATTCAGTCAGTTCGTAAGTGTAATCAGAGCTTCTACAACGTCTCCCCTGTGTTCTCTGAGCGTTTGTTCAGCTAAATTACGATTAATTTCCATTTCCTTCATCTGAAACAATGAAAGAATGATAACTTTTTAAAATATATCACGACGTAATAAAAGGTAAGAAGTAATGATATGTTATAAAATAATTATTTGACATAATCAAATTTCTTACTATGAGATCAACATCTTCTTTTTTGATTGAAACCTTAAGAAGTTCTTTCTCCTTAGCTTTCTTTTCAGCAGCTTCTTTATTACGACGATCACCAATTATACTGAGTGCCTGTTACAAATTTGTTAATTTTTCAATGTTACATTAGATAGAATAGAAATAGTTTCTAAAATGTCTTTTTATAGGTTAGCTTTGTTATTTTTCTTGACTTATACTAAACAATACGTTAAAACTAACTTACGTTTCGCGCGTGTATTAAAATAATGAAAATTAAAATATGAGATTAGTTTTATATATTCGTTAATATTTATATATTCATTAAAGGAATCATAACAAGTTATAATAAAACACGTGGATGATAATGATTAAAAATGAAACTTACACATGAAAATCCGTCAGATGAGGATATTTCCTTTTCTTCGGCGTAATCGGTAACTCTTTCCAAGTCTGCAGCACCGCTGTCATATTTTGCTGCCTTTTTCTGTGACTTTTCCTGTTGCTGTTCATCCGAATCTCCATTTACATCTTCATCCGCCATCTTTAGTTTATTTTTTTTTCTTTCTTTCTTTATTTTTTTTTCACAGCATACTTCAAGTTTATTCAAAAAAAAAAAATTTCTTCAGATGACCGCGTTATATCATGCCACAAACGAAATATACAATAGAATGAACATCGTACGTCGACAAAATAACTATAAAACTGTATTATCGACCGTAGATACGATTTTGTAACAAATCAGTGGCGACCTCTTGGATAAAAGCGTCAAGAAATATTTCATTTAAGACGTAATGATTGAAGTCAATGCATTTAAAAATTTTTTTAAACAATTAATATATAATTTTTTTTTTTTTTTTTTTTTTTTTTTTAAATTCAAAATAATAAAATATAAATCATAAATTTATTATCTATGTAAATTATATATCATTTATAATATGTATTTCGCTAAAATGTAATTCAATTTATTGTTAGTGTAGCAAACATCTTACAACGATTACTGTCGAAATTATTATTATTAAAAGATCTTATAGAAATTATGACTATGTATATGTGTATATATATATATATATATATATTATTTGTATGTATATATATGCACATGCTCTTTGATCTTGTCTATCCGTTTCTCTTTTTCTCTCTCTCTCTATTTATGAATCCGCATTCCATAAATTCTTGGACGCGTCAACAATGTATCCGTCATGTAACATTCACGTAATTCAATTTACATACTTCCTTTTTATATTGTGTCGACGTTAATCTAATTGGATCTTTGTATGTAGTAATCTCACGTGATGAGATCCGGACAAACGATATTATTCGCAATCCAAAAGAACATTTTCATTTCTTTGTTTTTTTTTTTTTTTTTGCACGCTAGTACCCAGTAATTTCGTAGCTATTAATAAAATTATATAACATGGAAGTTTACGTATTACTTATATGTCAAACTTTTTTTTTTATCAATTATAACTATATATTTTTTTTCTTTTATATTACTTTTTCTTTTTTTTATCTTTATCGTATTTTAAATATAAATATGCGTATAGTTTATAAGATATAAAGAAAAAAGAAAATAAAAGGCAGAAAAAAGAAACAACTTCGGGCAGGAAGTAGCAATGAATTTTTCGACTTGATGAAAATTAAAATAAAAATAAAGATAATAAAAAAATAATATACATATATATATATATATATATATATATATATATGTATATGCAATATATAGGATTATAATGATTACATTCGGTATAATAGTAATACAAAAGAAATGAATAAAAACCATATCAGAATTTAATAAAAATGATTTATAATAAATTTTTACAAGATTGAAACGCTACGATTTATTCATAGAAATAGTAGTTACATCAGCAAGTTATACAATTCTGAAAGGACGTTATTACAAAATAAAGATGCTTAATTTATGATAAAAAAAAAAAAAAAAAGAAAAAAAAAAAGAAAAAAAAACAAACAAACAAAAGAAAAAAAAATAGAAAAAAAAAAGAAGACAAAATAATATATAGATAGAGGATTATTAGGCGAGTAACGGGGAGTGGTAAGGGTTGTGTGTGGAGGGGAGGGTAAGGGGACGGGGATGGATAATGAAATTGGACGTGATAGTGTCGCGTTAGTAAAGATTAGATCGTATGTGAACTTGAACGAGACACATTCTAACATTCGATAATATTTTCTTAAGTCTTTCTCTTTGTTTTCTTAATACTTTGCACGGACGTCAACTTTTTCGTCGCTTTCTTCGTCGTCGTAACCTTCTTCTTGTTCGTAGTTGTTTTGGACGCCTTTTTGGCATACTTGTCGATCAAAGAATCAAAGAAATTATTAGCCTGATCGGCCCGTTCCCTATTACGATTTTGAATTGCCAATGCTAAATCATTAGCAGCTGCGTTTTCTTCGTCTTCAATTTTTTGCATTTTGTTCAATCGTTCAGCCTCCATGGCTTCTTTGGCCCACTGAAAAATCAAACGATCATTGAACTACTTCAACAACTCTGTTTCTCTCTCTCTCTCTTCCTTTATTATTACTATTAATTATTATCGTTAGTTGTACGTTCCTATTAGATTTTTTTTTCTTTTTTTTTTTAAATTTTTTTCCATCTTAAAAGAACAAACCTTTGATATAAACCGGAATCGTTAATTAATAACATACTTCATCGTCATCGACACGTTAATACAACTAGGTCAGATTAAAAGTAACGATAAATAACTGTCCAGAGACGTAACAGAAGGCTATATTAACCATCTTTAATAAACTTCAAATGGTAGAAGAAGAGGAGGAGAAGGAGGAGCACTCGTGGTAGTTGGTATATATATATATCAAGGGTAAGAAAAGCATCCACTCTATTTTTGCGCGCTCGCACCACGGATCCATATTTGATCTCAATTTTATTAAATAATTGTCCTGTCTTATTCCTTACTTTATTTATCCACGTATGTATATACGTTTGGCATTACTACTGACACGCGGAAATAAATTTCTTATAAATCATTCGTAATATATACGAAAACGATCAAATTTTCATTTTAAACTCATCGAAATCGTATTAAGTCATTCGTTATTTCTCAAAGCAAAAGGATTATCAAAGGCAATAACTGTTGGAATTTATTATTTGGCAAATTTTCAAAACTCTTTAATCTTTAACTTTTCTTAACGAAAAACCATAATAACGTACATTCGAAACTCTTTATCTTCCTTTTTCTCTTTTATTTCTAACTTTGTTACCTAAGAAAATTCGTAATCATCGATGATGTTTCATATAACGTTCGTGACCTACTCCAAAAATTTCTTACCGTGGAAATTACGTTATTTATAATTTCTGGCAAGTTCTTCTAAACTTCCGACTAATGTTAGTAAGTTATATTAGTTACACAACCCGTGTACGCGGAATTTCATATTCATTTATATGGATGACACAATCTGATGAAAAGGAAAAACTTTTTCTTCTGCATCATTCTCGAAAATGATAAATAGAAATGAAATGGAAACTTCAAAGAAGGAAAGTCTTTCCCAATGGAAAAAAAAAAAAAAAAAAAAAAAAAAAAAAAAAAAAAAAAAAAAAAAAAAAAAAAAAAGATCTTATCTTTTATATCGATTTTTAAACTGACTTTTATACCAACTTCCAAAAGTTTAACATTTTATTAACGTTTGCCAACGATATTCTCATCTTTCTCTCTCTCATCCAAAAATGCAAATCCAAACACCTGTTGTCTATGTCAGCTAAACATATAACTTGTCCTGAACTTGACTCTGACGATTAACATGATTGAATAACTGAATTAACTGACTTACTTACTTACTGACTGACTGACTCATTTTATAGATTACGTAGACAAATGATATGTTATCGTTATATACTCGAAAGACGTATAGTTAGCCGAATATCTTCTTTTCCTATCTTTTTTTTCTTTTCTTCAAAAACGATCAACCCGATCACCTATTACATTTTCGATCGTCAAGATCAAGATCAAGACCAAGATCAAGATCAAGATCGATTTCGAATGGGATACCATCTTAGTCATTTAATTTATATTATCCAACTATCAATCCAACAAATGCATTTCATAAATCCGGCAAAAGAACAAACGGATATGCGAATAGACTATAACGCGTCTATCTAGGAATATTGAACAAGGCCATTGCATAACAAGAGTCAACGCGGTTGGACAATGGCATTAGTAATTATTTCATTATCATTCCGGATGCAATGCGACCCTCGTTCCTCGTTTATTTCAATTGTCTATCGTAGAGGCACTCTTCTAGTCCATCATAGAAAGGAATCATAGATTAATTCCTTTTTCTTATTTTTACTGACTTTTACATTAATCTTTCAAGATTCGCGCGACGATAAATCCTATATATCATATATTTCTCTAAACCAATTTTAAGAAGTAACTATATAAATAAGAAAGATACCTACGCAATAATAACTCTGGCTCTCATCTCATCACATCGAACTAATCAATGAATTAGAACGATAGCCCTCTCTCTCTCTCTCTCTCTCTCTCTCTCTCTCTCTCTCTCTCTCTCTCTCTCTCTCTCTCTCTCTCTCTCTCTCTCTCTCTCTCTTTCTCTCTCTCTCTCTCTTTCCTTCTCTTTTACGTATTTATAAAGAACCATAGATTTTTTTTTCTTTTTTTTTTTTTTTTTCTATCAAAATACAAAGAAGAAAAACGCAACGAAATGATAATGATCGTGATTTCATGAATGCTTAATACG